TGGATAAAAGAGCGAAAATGCACATGACTGTCAACCGAAACCAGAACAGGAGTTGGATTTCAGATGGGATTTTTAACAAGTTTTTACCAATTTATAAAATTATTTTAAAAATTACTCTTAACAAGTAAATCATGCCAGAAGATATCATAGTGATAAAAATAGTGTCTGTTTAAAGGAAACCAGTGATTGATTGATCAAGGATAGTTATTAATGATGGAAGTATCTAGTTCGAGAAAATCTCTCCACCAATGGACCAAAACATTAGTGCTTTCCGCGTAAATGGATAACAACCATAAGTTGTATTTCGGAGTTCTATAGTTCCTCTTGTGTGCATATGCTGCGGCATAAAACAGCCAGGATGGCGAACGGTAGAAAGCAGGGACAGCACAAGATTTTCGTCAAAACTTTCAATTTCATAAAACTGAAGTACATTAGAGGGCAAGGAATGTTGCAAAAATGTAATTATCGTGAGGAATCGACTGTCCTTGCTGCACTTTGGAGAAAGCATAAGTACAGAATTACCAGCTGCTACCGCTTCAACTAACTTAAAAATCGTTAAATTACATTGTTTTTCATCCATGGGGTTTTCCATAGTCATTATTACAGGACCAATGGGAACAGACCACGATCGGGCTACAAAGATTCCGCGGCTTTTATTATCATTTTTTGGCAATGGCATTAAATAAGAATCCTCGGTAGCACTTTTCCTCTGAGAGTGAACAGCGTCCAAGAGTCCAAGAGGTTCCAGTGGAGTTTCACTACGAACGAGTTGACTGACTCTTTCATGTATTATTTCCATTCCAAGGTTGCACCAGCTTTCCTGTGCTTTTTTTGCTAAACTTAACAGAGAGCTTATATCATCCACCAACTTCTCATTTGGTGGTTTTCTTTGTCCTGCAAGAGTTGAACACAACGAGCACCGAGAAAGAAACTCGTAAATCACTCTAGCTTTCTCGACGTATGGCGAGTTGACAAAGATAGTGCTTATACCAGCACCAGCTAGGTGGGAAGATGAACGCCAAATAACAGAAGCTGAATCAGACCACAATTCTGCAACAAATGGTAGATCCCCGGCGGAGGGAGAGAACGTTGTAATATGATTCTGTCGACTACTGCATATATAAGAAGCAATTGAAAGTGCTTCTTTAAGTGTGCGAAAACGTAACACATGAGCCAATGGTCCCAGATCCAGGTTTCCGTTGTCTTTAAGAGTTGAGGGTACGGTGTCGGTCAGTACGATTGGACCCATTGTCAAATTCCCATCTTTAGGTTCAATGACTGTAACTCCCTGGCTAGCTTTTAAACGCTGCACGTAATTTTCGACACGTTTGGCAGCACCAGGCGAAAGAGGAAACGAGCGAAGCACCGAACCTTGTGTCTTTTCTCCGAGTAATCCCATAATCTTTCGCAACTGTTTCACAAAATGACTTTCAATTGCTTCCTCGACAAGAATGATTGCTGACTTCCAACGTCTGGTTCCTTCGGAATCTGTCAAGGACTGAAGACAAGCATTTGCAGCAGCACCAACATCCGCCGTTTGGAATACCATGACCAAAGAATCAAACGAATGCGAAAGGCCCAGGGGTTCAGCGATTGGTATAAAAGAAAATAAGTTACCCGGAGGCTCAGACTGAGCAATAAGAACGGAAACTATATGGAAAAGGACAAGTAATTTTGTAGAGTTACAAATCAACACCATCCCTGATGAATATCTCCTCTGATAATCCGAACTTAATGCATACATCAATTTGGAAAGATGGAAAAGTGCATCAGAATCCTCATCCGGTACATACAACACAGTGGGAAGCTCCATATAATCGCCAAGGACACGATGATCATTACTCATGTTCTCAAAATGTTGTTTCAAAATATCTTTATCATGCACATCCTTACAGTAGCTGCTAAGCAAAAGGTCTAGATGACTCGAAAGATAACCTTGAAGTCTTTTAACAAATGCGCGGTATGTTTCCGCTTCGTAACGGAATGATTTGGCAGCTTTTATTGCAGATTCTTTCAGCTCGATACCATCATGCACTGTAATTTTAAAAGAACTCCATTGTATATCGAATTTTGGCGGTTTGTCAGCCACAGGTAAATTTGGGATAACCGGTCGTATTTCGAAATCCGAACGATCCAAAAATTCATGAATGTTTGAGACTACTGGAGCAGATGTTGGTAGAGGAAGCGGTTCCTTACGGTCGAACACTCGACGTGACATCCCCAATGGAAACCAAAAGTGAAGTAAAATTCAAGGCCTGGGTCTGCAGACTGACCTTGAACTCCGAATCAGTTAAAGATCACGTCTAGTTCAAATTTCAAATTTCAAATTGCAGGACGTGAGGAGACCTTTGCCTGTGGGCTGCCATGGCAGTGGCATGTTCTGTCCTAGGACTGACTGGCCTGCTAGTTGGTATTGTTACCTATTTGAGCGATCCGGAGTTATCTGGAATTAGGGAAAGGAAAAAGAGGTCAGGTCAGGTCAGGTTGCACAGGACGGTAAAGGCTTTCGCCTATCGAGCGTCCAGCTTCTTGCTTCAGTCGGAAACACGTCTTTCGGAGCTTCGACTTCTTGTCGACCGTGTGACCACAGCCGATTTCTTCGTTTGGATCACCCTCCCTTGGCACGTCCGTATTTGCTAAGGAAGGTCTTAAAGTCTTGAAGTAGTTCTCGGGTTCGAGGCTTATGCCCAATATTCTCGGTTCCGGATTTGTCTTCTTTTCGGCGGTTTGGTGCACGAGCTGAAAGGGATGTTGACCGGAATGAGAGCTGGCTCCGATATGGTGCCGCTGGGTTAAGGATGCATGCATCGGGAAAAAGAAATATAGAGTAGAGCGACAATATGAGATAAGCGGGATAATGTGGGGATT